TATAATTCTTTTATTCATAAAAAGATAATAAAACAAAATTGAATATATATTCAAGATATCGTTTGTAACCGTCCAAAATCTCATCCAAAATTCTAACTTAATGCAATAAATTTTAAAATAATAAATGTACATCTTTTGCATAATTAGCTCAAAATATCTAATATCTATGAGATTTATTTAAATTCTAAAATAAATATTTGTTACAAAAAAAATAATTAATTTTAAGTACTGTTCTAATTAAAATAAAATAAAATAATTTTCTAATAGATCTCTCATTGTTTAGGAGTGGGATTCTGATTATCCTAATCTAAAAAAAAATGAATAATGAATAGAATAAGTTTAATTTGCTTAGTAAGCATTAAATGCCAACAAATAATAGAGTAATCTATCCAAATTTGTAAAAAACATAAAACTACCAATGTAGCAAAATTAAAAATACATTTTTTTTTCTTATTCGAAAATAACGTAATATCAACACCCTAACTCTGTCATCAAACATTTTAAATCAGTTCATTCAATACTCTCAGGATTCTACATAAACAGTTTGGTAAACATTGAAACTCAATATTCCGATATCATAATTGAAGACATGCACAATTCAGTAAATATAATAATTTAGTATCACAATATCATAATCTAATACATAAATAGTTTAGTAAATACATAATTCAGTATTTCGTAAAGTATAAACATTTCAATGAACATCAGAATCTAGTATTTCAGCATCACAAGCTTTATACATGATTTACATTCATTCCTATTGGTCTATCTCTTATTAAAAATAGTTTTATAGTGCAATGCAATTTTTTTCAGTATTAACAAGAGTAGTAAAGATCTCATCTACCACGTGAATATGTCACAACTAATAGTTCACAATTCACAGTACACAATATATAATTTATAGTTTCACAATACTTATCATTTCATCGTGTCTGGCTAAAATTGCATTCACGGGTAGGGTTCAACACAGTTATACGCCAAAGGGCTACACACTCCCACCTTCGGTGATACCAGTTAAATGAATTTTTCACATCTTTTAATATTCTTTCTTTATTTCAACTCACTAATAAATTCTTTAATGTCATGATTTAATACTTTTTATACCTACAACACACACATTATAAATATTCATCACCCTAAACTCTTTTACATACCCTTAACATATTCACAGTTAACACATAAGAACCAATACATATACAAAATCAGTTACAAAAAAGATTATAGTTGTGATAGCTTGAAAATATCTCTAGGTTAATTTCTTATATTTGATATATTTAATTTTATTTTACATGTGTTTGAAAATATATAATTAAGTTAAGACATAGTGTAGAGTCAAACGAAAAAATAATAGATAAGGGTGAAATAGCTGGAATAAGCATGAAGAGGCATGAGAAAATGTGAAAATATTTTAAACAAAATGATATAATAAAAAGTGATAACTATTAGACAAAATAACATAACGAAAAATAACAACTTTTAGATGAAGTAATATGTGAAAAGTAGTAACATTTTAAATGAAATAACATATGAAAAGATCTTTTAAATAAAACATCATGTGAAAAGTGATAATTTTTTAGATAAAGTGGCATGTTAAAAGGCCTTTTAGGTAAAACGACATATGAAAAGTGGTAACTTTTTAAGTGAAGTGACATGATGAAATGTGACAACTTTTAGATGAAATAGTATGACAAATTTTTCCTCGTGGCTCCCTATTCCTATAAATAGGGGATAAGAGAATGGAGGAAGAGACATTCCGAATGAGAGAAAAATAGTATGAAGCATAGAGGTGAAGGAAGAAGAGAGAATACGAAGTGTGTGATATTTGAGAGCATTTTGAGATTTTAGATAAAAAGCTTAAGAAAACTCTGCTAAATTTGTGAGAGCAGAGAAAAAAGAAGAAAAGAAGAATAAGGTTCACGATTAAAAGGAAGCTATAAACTGTTAGAAAGATAAGTTTTTTCTTAAGTTTTGAAATTCGGTTTCTCTTTGATTTTTGCGATTAGCCTTTTAGAATAGTGTTGAATATTTTTTAGTCAAAAGAGTGACTAAAAATCATCTCAAAACTCTGTCAAATTTTTAGAGAAAAAAGTCATAAATAAAGTTGTAATTCTGACGAAAATAAGATTATGACTGTAAGGACCTAAGGTAAGTGGATATTATGAATTCATAACCTACATAGTT